GGGCCCATAATCGGTTGGAGGACTACATTATTCAAATATGATGGCTGTAGGTACCGTCTTTTTTCACAATGGGGGAAACATACATACATTCATGCAGATTCTTCATTATATTAATTTCTTTAAATATAATACAGGGCGATAATATCTGGTGGTAACAATCTGAAAAGTGATACATTGCATTTAAGTGATTCAACGTAAATTGCAGTTTCGAGACTAAATGTTCTTCTGAGCTAGAAAGAAAAAAAAAAAATTAAACTGAGAAAAGATTTTTTTTTTTTTTTGGTCAAATCATTCAGTATATTAATACAACTACAATTTGAAGATTTTATATCCGATCGAATAACGATTTTAAAACTATCTTAACAGGCAAACTGGGCCGACCCTATGCATTTTACCATCCGGTGCAATCTCTGTAGGGCCTAAATTCTGCTGACCGTCTCTTCTAAAATCTAAAAGTTTTGCCATCTGCAAATTTGCTGCTCGATGCTCATCTAATTCAAAACAATTTTTCCGCCCGGTGCGAGCAAATGAAAAAAGATCTAACGCTTCATGAACACTAATATTAGTCTGTTGTGTATAATGTCACAGCCTTAAAAAAAAAAAAAAAAAAAAAAAAAAAAAGTCTAACAAAACATTTTATTTCTTTTAAAAAAAAAATCTGAAATGTTTCAGATTTTAAATTACGTCCAAAGGGGCGTTTTTTAACATTTTGTGTGTTACCTTTCTTTATTAAATATCATGTTCCTCGCACTTAAACCATAAGATCCAGTGCAACAGCAATATCGCAAAATAGTTTTTAAAAACGAGCCTAACTTTAGAATTTCCGATACAGAGACTCACGCGCTGGAGATAAAAATGTTTTTTTTCTGCACAACGTTGCCATTGCTCGCTTTTGAAATCCTTGAGTTTGTTAATAATCAAAATTCGTCAAAGTTTTAAAAAATAGGAAATCGATCATAAAACAAATTTCAAGTTTCAAATTTGGTCTTCCACATGCTCATATTCGTTGGAGGATTACGTTATTCAAAATTCGATGACTCTATGTTTACCGTTGTTTTTATCACAATACGAGAAATATACATACATTTATGCAGATTTTTCATTATTTAATTTCTTCAAATATAATGCAGGACTCTAACATTTTGTGGCGACAGTTTGAAAAGTGAACCGACATTTATGAGTCCGACGCAAAATGCCAAAACGAAACTAATAGTCCTTCGGGATTCAAATCCTTTTGGACTTAAAAAAAAAAAACCCTTTCAATAGAAATGTTTTCAGCGTTAATATATTTTTTAAAATTGATTTTTGTACATAAAGAATAAAAAAAAAGTAGCACCTCGATGAAAAAAACAAGAAAGTTATAGTTATGATACACGGCGAGGAAGACAAACACTTGTTTAATCTATCCAAAGAGACAAAAATTCAATGTTACGAAATAAAGTAATAATTTTAATCGATATCCACATTTAAAAAGCATCAAGTTTTTACCAATCTTATGACTTTTAGTTATTACCATCGTTGAAACAAAAGATATATATATATATCTCAGAAGTTTATTCTGCTCAGATCAACTAACCACTCCCACGTCCGCTTCAAAATCCTGAATAAACGACTGGGAGGGTGACTTAATCTCCGTCACATGTCATCAACCTTGATAACAACATGCCCAAGCATTGAATAGTAGACATGTTTATTTCCCCACGTGCGAATTGACGAAGTTCATGAGGGACGCAGTTTCCCAGGCGTTTTGCCTGAAAGAAAATCCAAGAACTCTGCCAAAACAAAGGCATACTTTTAACAGCGCGAAGAAAAACTTATGGTTTATTTTTCTATAAACTGTTAAAGATTTGGCAACATTAATCATCGGTTACTTTAGAAAGGAAGGCGATATGCATTTTAACGCCACTCTTTAAACAGCGCGCTAAACCAGAGAGATTAGAGGTAATTAAGCTTTTCATGCAATATTAATAATTTACCAATCTTTCCCCTCCTGGTATTGTCTATTCCCTTGCCAACTCATTAGCTCAAAGGGTCTACTAAACAATTTTATTTAGTATATTCGGCATGTTACCCAGTTAGGAATACTCAGATGTAACTCACACCTAGATGTTCTATTACTAGAGAATTTATTTGTATTTCACATTCATAAATCAAGTCTTCGAAATGTTCTTACGTAATTTCTACAAACTTTTAAGATACTATGAGGGGATAAATACAGTTTAAACAAATGAAATATAACAAAAATTAATAAACGAATGAACAAGGGTTCAACCAATGCAAAAGAACTTATGTCCAAGGACAGAAGAAAAAGAATTGCATAAGCAAGTATAGAATTTTGTTCAATGCAGTTTCATAGAACTTAGCTGAGTTATACTGAAGTGTCGTTACTAGGGCAAATATTAACAGTAGAAGTTGTACTGTTTTTGTCTGCAATTTCTTGTGTTAAATTTCTTATTTATTAGAAATTTTTTTATTAACTTATCTGAATTTTTTTCTAATTTCCATATATCAACATAATTAAAAGAGATAAAAATACCAAAAAAAAAAAAAAAAAAAAAAAAAAAAGAACATTTACTTGCATTAAATAATACTTCACTTATTGATACAATTTTCTAAAATTTATTCCACTTAAGAAGAAATTAAAATAATTGCAAAAATTTGAAAATTTTGTATAACTCCTCATTGGGAAACATTAATAGTGGTAGCTATAAAGTTAATAACTTTTAATAGTCAATAAAAGTGAATGCGGAGCTATTTTAACTGAAGCAGCCAATTTAAGTTTCATGACACTCATCTCAGGAAGGTTATTACTTTTTACTTACATGCAAAGACATTTACTAATACATCTTAAGATAATTTTTATTAGTCTATGCTTTTAAAGCAATGGTGTACTCGCATTTTATCATGTGCAAATGCACATAATTTTTAATAATTTATAAATTCTTATTAACTATTTGGATTTCTACTTTGTTACACCAAATTTCTTCCACAGAACTGTATGTACTCAACCTTTCCCTCCCATTCTCTAGACTAAAAATTACTTTCTTTTCCTAAAATTAAAACTGCTTTCTAAAACGTCTTTCCTGACACTATAAAGATCCAAGGAACAGTTCTTAGAGCCATATAATTTCATCACCTGATTGTGTCACTGCTTGAATAATATAAGAATAATGTATTTGTCAAATACATACCTGCATTAATTAACCTACATTTTATGATTTTCTTTATTATTTAGTTTGTCATGCAGTGGATGCTATTTTAATGTATCATAGCTGATAACAAATTTATGCCCATTTGCTGTACTTAATCTAGATTATAATTTGCCAGTTACAATACTTAATAATGTGTCTTAGTAAAAGATATTTTCTTTTGGAAAACATTGCAAAACAGTTATTTCACTAAAGAACTCCTTTATGAAAGAAAATATCTGACACAATTTGATAATTCTGATATTTAATCCGGCATTACTCGCGGGAGCAAAAATGAACGGTGTTACTCACGCAGGGTACGTTATACCCAAGGGTGTTTCATGGTATTTTCAGCATAAAATCGATGCATAAAAGGTTAAAAAAATTTTAAAAAGACGACTACAGTTGTAAAACTAGTTAATCATGCTACTTATATTTGGTTTGCATATTTTCTGCAAATACATGCCATATCTTCCATACATATATATGTTCATCAATAAATTTAGTTTTTCTGTCTTTTCTATTAGGGCATTCAGCACACTCTTTAGATATTACTTTGCCCTTCTTTGTAGGAGGTGAAATGTCATTGTCTTCATTGGATCCTATTTTTCTTGTATTCTTCTGCAAGTTTAAATAAAATATATTAAAAAAATGATCACCTCGTTTGATGCTCAGTGCGTGGTTTCTTAGTACATAACAAAATAATTCGTGAATTTATTACAGCAACATTCAACAGTGCAAAAAAATATCATCATGAGCCAACAATTAGATTTCCTAGCCGTTGAATATATGACAGCAGTTTTGTCTACAGCGTCAACTGCTCCTTTAGATAAATTGCAGAAAGTTATTATTTCAGATTTTCTCAATTCTCCTGTAGATGAGTCTACTGTGTTGAAAGTAGAAGAACATTCTTATTTTTCCTTGGGCCCACCAGCGGCCGAGTGGTAAAGTCGCTGAACACTGGTAGTCCGAGGTTCGAATCCCGCGAATGGGCCGGCTGCATGTGTGTTTTCGTGGTTTTCCCCATGTCTAATGTGTATATGAGCCAGTTTCCTTTAGAAAGTCCTCCACGAAGGCATCCCTTCCCTGATAGCCCTCGAGGCTTTGCCGTAGCTAATTAACCTAACCTTATTTTTCTTGGGTGTATGCGAGACAATTATTGAGTCTTTTTGGAAACCAAACATGGAGGAGTAAATCGTTCTTCTTTGAATTGAAAATAATTGGAGGAATCTCTCATTTATTTTTTCTTATGGTTCCAATGATAGTTATTCCTCTGAAGATACAATATCCAACAAATTTCTCATTTCTTCATCATAACTGAGATAATGTGCTATGTTGGATGAACAATTTGAAAGCTTGTTCACATACTCAGAAATATAACACAAATATTCGCGCAGGGTATAATATACTCGTTGAGGCGATATCCGAAGAACTATTTTCAGAATTTGGCCCCAGGTTTCCTATTCTTCAAGTTTATGACCTTAGAGCCAGTTATAAGAAGACTCATCAATTCCTCAAAAAAGGTTAGGAAATGAACATTAAAAAATTAAGGGAGGTGGGTATCTCATACCTTGCACGAGTAATGCCAGGTTAAGAATCAATGACTCTTTTATTAAAGAATCAAAAATGCAAATTTAAACAAGATGCTCAGATTCCATAATGCTTCTTTCAAAAGCTAACATTTTATATCTTCTGTACTTATGCACACTTTTAATTTCATATCAAGAAAAGCCCTTTTCCTCCTTCAAAAGTACATGCATTTAAATTGAAACAATAAATTACACTTAGATATAAATAAAAAAGAATGCAATATTTTTACTTGAATATTCTTAAAAATTTATTTGTCTCAACTGTACAATTACAAAATGTAGTTACATTATGACTGAACATATTTATAAGTTAGGATTAAGAGATAAAAGACTTTTTTAGTACATCTTTCATAAATTTATACGATGACTAAATACTCTTGATGTCATATAAAGGGCTAAAATATACAACATATAAAATTATTACTCTACACATCTGAATATAATATACAAAAAATAGCATAAGTTAAACTAAATTATAGTCAGTAAAGCTAAAATATATTGCTGTAATAGTTTCATGATATATGTGCAATCCTTTGATTTTATTTTATAGTTGATATCAATTATACACATGATACTTTACAAAAGTTATGGATCTAACTGACCTGAAATATAATTGCACATTCATAAAAACAAAACAAACCAAAGGATTACTTAAGTAATGCTTGGATGTATAAATTACATATCTTCGGTATTCAGAAATCACAGAATGGAGGCAGTTTTTCGAAGGATAAGTAGTTTTCTGCTCATCAGCATCTGACTTCAGTATGAAATTATGTGTTCTTCCATCTGTATCTTCATTGTTTCAGATACAAGGCATAATGGTAACATATATTATATTGCACAAGAACACCTTCATTACAAAATGAGCAGCAGTACAGTCAATAAGGCAGCCTTCCATACTTCTTCCAAGCAATAGCATCAGGCCATTGGTCCACAATAAGTGATAGAACAGTTGCCAAACATTTTTTGTTACCTAAAAAAATGAAATATATATTATATAATAATTTATTTCCTAAACAGTATTGATTAATTGGTTCATACACATTTCTGCACATGGAAATTAAGGATTTCAAGGGAACTTTATGGGTCATTAATGAAATATATTAAGAACCTATTAGCTGAGGGAACTGAATAAATGAAAGCAATTATTGATAATTGAACATCACTTTCGTAATATTCTAAGATTGAAACAAATCTGTAAGTAGGATACATTATTATTAAACATAGTCTAATATTTAACATAATTACAAATGTAATTTATAATATTTATTTTAAAACAATATTAGGACACATAAAAAGCTACAAAACGTAACTCACAACAAAACATTTATGCATCTTCTTGAAAAATTTCCAGATATTTTAGCTATTTTACATAAATTTTCTTAGCTTTAGTATCTCTTCAAAGTTTATTTCAATATAAGCAGCTGCTTCATACGCTAATTTGTTAATACTTTAACAATATATCTTTAAAGAACAATTTTCCTCAATAAAGTTTCCTCTTCATTTTAGAATTTCAAATTTAATTGAAGATTTCTATTACTATAAGGAAGTGCATGCATTTAGAATGTATAGAAGAAACTGCTAATTTTATTTCTTTAGTATGAGAACTGAGAATAAATGCAAAATAATATATGATCAGGGCCTGCCCAAAGCAAACATGGAAGAATTTTAGAAGTTAGTGAAGCACCTAGAAACATAATTCAGAATTGAGGACCCACAGAGTTTGCATCAGGTGAAAAAATGTCGAGAGCCACTCTTGTGTACGGTGCAGCTAGACACATAAGATGAATTTTTTAAATTACGAGTTTTAAATTTCTTTATTAATAGAAAATTGTCTTTATACAGATGCCTACCCACATGACAAAATAAGAACCATTTTTGCAATTTTCTGCCTTGTGTCTAATGAAAAGATGAGAAAATAAAGTGATATAAACTTGTTAAGAGAAGACTTTTTAGGATGAAAAGTAAAAAATTCATAACAAGTTTCCTATAAAACCCAATCACTGCATGTTATTGCCAGGAAATCATTTTTCTCTATAAACCTTAATTTCAAATCCTTCTAAATCTTCCGAAGAGCCATGTCTAAAAATTATCCCACTAAGAGCAAAAAAGACAGAAAATTTTTTAATTAAAAATTCAGAAAAGAAAAGTATAGAGTGAATTTTTAAGAGAAAGCTGACACAAATTTGAATATTCTGAAACAATTGGACGGGAAAAAATCTCTTATGAAAAAATATAAAAGAGAGATGAAATTAATTTTTTTAATAATTATAGTAGCCTTTTTGCTTTTGCTCAGAACAGTTTCAAAACCTGTGTTTTAGAGCATTTATTATCTTATTTATTTTTCAAAATAAAAAAGTTTTAAGATGTTAAAATGGAAATGTAATGTCATTTAAAAGCTGATATGGGGAAATAAAAGTATTTTATTTTAATGCTACTTCTTAATTTTATTGTGTTCATAAAAAAAAAAAAAAAGCAAATCTCCGTATCAACAATTCTGTATACCAATTGATCTTGAAATGAATTGTTATCACGTTTAGCACCACATAATAAAACAAATCATATCTTAACACGTTGAGCGCCATGTCAGCCATCCGTGGCTGACATTAGACTTTCCGTTTAGGCCGCGTCAGCCATCTGTGGCTGACACTAGACTTTCCATTTAGGCTGCATCGACCACCGCTGGCTGACAGCGTGTAACATGATATATAACTGTACAATTTACACTGTTTTATGGAATTACAGAAAAAATATATAAAATTTACTTAATTTTGATTCATTACAGGACTAATGGACTAACACGGTAAGCATAATTACAGCTAGTACAAATTGCAACAACTGTCTTAGTCTTTTTCTGGCCATTACACTACCAGCTTCAGTTGCATTTTTATCATAATTTACAATATTTCCGTACTTCAGGGGCTTTTTCCGGTTTTCTTTGGAGTTTATGCTGCCGTTTTTTTTAGATATTCTTGCATTTCTGTTCGACTGGAATATCTTCTTTTTCACAACTTGTAAGGGATAACGCTAATTCTTTCCGGACTTCAGTAATGCTAATTTTCTGCTTCGTAATATCTTTGCATAGAATGTAACTATTTACAAAACAGACTTGGAGCGTAACGTGTTGAATGAATGCCTATATAGGAATCATGTTCCAAACGTAAACTATCTTCTACTGCAATAGGCCCTACAATGCCAGCGCTTTTAAGCGGCACGTGTGGCATGAACGGGATTGCCTAAGAAATACGCTTGGCGCTCAACGTGTTAAAAAGTGAAAAGTTGATTAATATTTTATGGAACTCTTTATTCTCAAAAAAGAAATACTAATACATTTTGAAATGTTAATGTTTCAATACAGGTAGGGTCTCAAGCCCTAAAATTCAGGCAACATACTGTTTATATTATATAGCAGGAAAGAATACAAACGATAATGCAAATACATATTTTTCAATGAATTACCAAAAATAACTAATTAATACTCAAAATGGCAATAATAAAAAACAAACGGAAATGTCAGCTGAGTAAAAATAATCATCATTTTACCATTTTTGGCTTTAAGAACCAAAAAAATGGTTCCAGAAAACCTAAGGACTTGAATGCCATACAAATCTTGATATAACTTTTTTTTTTTATTTAAGAAGCATCTAAAATTTGTTTGGAATAATCTGCTTTACACATCAATGCTCCCCATTTATGAAGGCTCGCAAAAACGAACAAACCTGTTCTTAAAGTAAGAAATTTACTTGGAGTTGAAAAGGAAGTAAACAAACCTATTCAAATAAGTCTAGGCACTTCAAAAATTTGTGTTGTTAGTCCATCTAATAAGTCACCTATAACCAATGATTCATCACGAATGCCCCCTTTACTTGTCAATTAGTTCTTGAAAGGGTGAGTTAGACATACTCCCCCATATAAAGATCTATTAAATATATTCTCACCCCATCCATATATGCCTGAAAGACTACAATCCAAGGTACCTATTGAATAACAAAGTAATTATTTATTATATACTATACTGAAAAATTTAAACTATTATTTATTTTAGTATTTTTAGTTGTTTATTTAATGGTACAGTCAAAAGTCTTTAATCCAGCCTCATCGGGACTTTGGTGATACCAGATTATCGGTTTTTCCGGATCATAGATCATCAGTTTAAATCTGGTAAGAGAGCATGCAAAAATTATAAAATTAAAAATATGAAACCGTAATTTATGAAATAAAGAGCAATTATGATCTAAAGGGTATCAAAATTTACAAAAAAAAAAAAAAAAAAAAAAAAAAAAAAACTTAAAATTTAATTGTTTACTTTATTAAACATTTCTTTCAACGCGCACATGCGTAAAGCATACATTACGCATAGTCGAAATTAGAAAATTGCAACCAGAAAACTATTGATGTGAAAATTTATAATGACGAGGAATTTGATTTAAATCATATCAAAGACGGAGTACATCGAGATGAAATACTACATTTAGTAAGAAATTATAAGCCGAATAAAATAAAAACATCTGCCCTGAAGACAAGGATAGTGCTGACAGATCAACTTCCAGTTCATCGTGCACCGCGTCGTCTTCCCCCCCGAAGAGCAGCGCAAAATTGATAAACATATTTCGGAACTTTTAGAGAAACAAAGGATATATATGCCTTTATCCATTTTTTTGCAGCAATTCCACTTTTGGTTTGATGGACATCAAAACATGCTTTCGCTTTGTAGATCCTTTGGTAGCTCCAGAATCGGAAATTCTTTTTGACAATTAATTTGGACATGAGTGTTCAAATTAAATGGTACTCTTCGGACACGTATTTTATTTGTATGCCAAGGAATTCAATCAAACACAATAATGGCAGCATACCTTCAAAGCTCCTATATAGTTCTTTTATACATATTTTTTTTAAAATATAATATGTCCTTCCACACACCCAAATCATAATTTAATTTTCTAGTGAGATCACAGTACTTATGTTTGGCTGGATGCCAAGCACAAGTACTGTACTACACATTTCTCTACATTTAGTTGCATGTGCCTTTTAATAGAAAATTTGCTTCAAAATATGATTGTGTCAGAAAAATATTTTTAGCCTAGTAGTTTATGTTCAATATAATACTAAATACATCTCATGGACAGTGAAAAAATGAAAATCTCAAAAATGGTTTTTATAATTAAGCAAAGGCTTATAAAAATAAAAATTAACAAAGTTTACTTTGCACTGGCAATATATTTTTTTGAACTTTTGAAAACAATCCTGAATATGCATAAACAAACAGAAAGCATTATTAGGAGAGTTATTTGAATATGGCAAAGGGTACATGGAAGACTTTCTGACAGGGCTGTGGAGTCGATAAGGAAAATGACAGACTCCTGGAATTTTAAAGACTCCAACTCTGACTCGACTCCCTCGTATATATATATATGTAAACATATATACATGGGTTACAGCTTATTTTTTTTAATATAAAAAAAGTAATAGATGCTACAGAAAAAAAAAAAAAAAAAAAAAAAACAATGCCATATGAAATTATTTACATTAATTAGCATTTATTATCAAATGGAAAAACTGACATTAGTTATTTCTAAGCAACAATATAGCTTCGGCAAGATCTTTGTTGGAGGGCCATAAATCTGGTTTGATAAACTTCAGAGCTGAGAAAAGTCTTTCCACACAACTTGAGTATGAGGAAGTAGACTAGTAGATGGAGTGTTCAACTAAAAAAAGTTTTCCTGAATTTTGCTTCACAAAATAACCAACTTATCACATACACAAATAAAAGTTTAGAATTAATACATTAAAAGAGATAGCACAAACAACGCTTATTGTGGAAACATCCCGGAAGATAAAGGAAAAGAAAGAAGAAATAGAAAATAGGTACAGTAAACTCTCGATTCAATGCGCTAAGAATCAATGGGTTCCATATTTAATTTACAGAATTTGACTACTAAAATACAATTGGAATAATTAATGCAATTCATTGGG